TAAAACACCTGCAGAGCTAAAAACAACTTGAAGTCCGGGTAGTTAGTGCAGCAACATATGAACCTTTTCTTTACATAAAAACACTCCTCAGTGGCATTTTGTAATATAGTCCTTATAGGAACAATGCAGAGAACATCTATCAATACTTTGAAGAATAAATCGAGTAATTATTCAGAGCTGACAGCTTCATTCTGCTGCTGCTGCTTTGTCACTGTCCCCGACATGGCGTGCAATGTGAGAAGCTGCAGCTCATGTTTTCTATTCATAATTTAAGGGGATACATTTATGATCACATCCGCCTTTGGTGTCCTTTAAAAACCTGATTACAGATAAATAATGGGACAGTAAGCAGTGAGCTGACATTATGAAGTTTTCCAATTTTATCAGATTTACCAAATTTGAGAAATTGCTGAATTTTCTGAGATTATTTGGCATTGAAAAAAATCATTCCTAAGGGTTTCAGGAGGTCAGACTCAAGGGAACCAATAATATGGTGTAGAAAAAGCTAGAACTGAAGAAGAACCGACACAATCTTCCTAACCGAAGCAAAGTCTGCATATCAGAATGGAGATCAGTCCTACAAATGACTGCACACACACACTAAGGGAGTGGCGGGGGAGGAGGAGAGGAGGTGTCCTGAAGGAGTTATGTTTTGGTATATATATTTTTTTGTCATAGCTTTAAGGTCTAATATTCTTTGATTTGAATCTTATTGTATCTTGACATTGTTGTGGAAACCATTTGGATTAGCTTTGGGTGAATGTGGGTACCACATGGGAAACAGCAGACTATGAAATCTTCCTCAGACTGTTCTACTTCTGTTGTATTTGTGTTTTCCTTCAGTTGGGACGTTACACCAAAGACGGGCAGCTGTTCTTGGGCCCTCTGGGCAGCACGGGGGATGACACCCGCTGTGTGGTCGATGATCAGATGAGCAGCTATCCTCAACTCCTGAACTGTGACAAAGTGACCAACGTGAAGCAGAAGACGTGGCATTTCAATCAGGTGAGATAAGGAAGAGTAACTAGTGCTTTCAATCAATTAAAAAAATTTAATTTGTGATTAGTAACAGTGATTAACCACGATTAAATACAACTTTAAAGTACTCAGACTTTTTACATTTATTTTAATAGTTGATATGTGCTGTATGAAAACACAAAGAAAGCTACTAGTTGCCTGTTGCAACACAGCCAAAATATTTGATTTAGGATTTTGGGGTGGCACTTTGAATTGCACCTCGGGGACAAAAATGTTTTTTTTAAATTGAAGATTCCAAGTGGGGCTCGGGTCACCCTGGCTGACCCCTGGAGACGCCCCTGCCAAACAAGCAAAATGACCTAATCCCAGCTCTAGTTTATTTTGCATTGACCTCCTTTTGTATTCAATTCAAACACAATAACAATCACACACACATGAGATGAATAACCTATAAACACAATTCACCTACTTCATGCCACATCCTGTCACAGTCACACATGCTACACAGGGCCGCCTGTCAAACCTGATAAAAACTAAACGGTGCCTCCCCTCCTGCCCCGCAGAATGAATCCATCATAAATCGAGCCACGGGCCGCTGTCTGGAGGTGGTGCCGGCTAACGTTTACTTCGGCCACCTGCTGGTCCTGCAGGCCTGCTCTGGCCAGAGGTGGACCATCAAGAACACCATGAAGCAATAGCTGATTGGTCAATTTCACAGGGACCAATGATACCAGAGGCCAGTTTTATAGTGTCGCTCCACATCAGCTTGGCTGAGGAAGCAGCGTAAAGAGGCAGAGGCTACGAGAAGCGACCGAGGATGCTCAAAAGAGATCATGATCTGTGAACATCTCATCGACACAGCTGCTGTGTGAAATGGCTGATTTATTACAGATGGTGCATTCAATATGATGCAAGTTTAAGCAGGAGGATTGTTTCTCTGGAGATATGAGCTGAACAAACTGTTGATGTTGCCATTATTCCTGTATGTGCCAATTCCCTACAGTATCATGTTTTTAGGTTGAAGGAGGTTTAAAAAACCTAAACTCTGTTGACTCTCTCTTCTAGGAAATGAAGGTCTGTATCCTCACCCTCCAGATGTTTCAGTCTGACTTTGTTCTTCATCAGGTTCATTCTCTTATGGCAAGTAAAATAACTAAATACATAGAATTACATTTTCAGTATATGCACTTATCAGAAAACATCTGTAGTTTTCATCCAGCTTCATCAGTGGTTCATTTTAGTTTAAGATGTCAGAAAAATGAAGGACTGTCGACTTGTGACAGATTTAAAGAAATTAAATATTTATGCCCCAAAATGGTTTTTTTTAATTTATTTGTCTTACAGAACCAAACAGCCTGTAAATATTTTTAACTTGAACAAAAAGGGTTCCTGTGAATCATCTCAGAAATCACACCGTCGAGGGCTATCAGACTTCATCATGGTTGAATATGTGGTGGACACATTTGTCTCTTTAAATGTTTTTTTTTGTTTGTTTGTTTGTTTCACAGCGTTTGGTAACACTGGAAGCTGTACATCTTGTAGCATGATTGTAAGTACTGTATGCACATGGGGGGACAAAGTTGAGCTGGTTCTGTTTCATGCTGAGTGCCATAACCACTGCAGACCGCCAAAAGTCACAGGCTGCAGTCTGAAGCACTTTGTTAGACAGATTTAGAAACACAAACTCTGAGAGGAGGAGTGAATCAGGAAGGTAAAAATGCACAAGTGTATGGATTGTGGGAATGCTGGAGGGCTTTCATTGCCCCTGTTCTTCATGTAATGAGATGTATATGATGTCAAGTATTCAATTCAATGTTATCAGTTGGATTTTTGCTTCCAAGATTGTCTTCCAATAAACAACTGGTTTCCTGGTTCCTGATGTTGGATGACCTTGATTATTTAACAACATTAATTTGTTGAGTCAAAATAAAAGTTTTATGTCATTTTTTTCAACCATTGAATGAAATTAAAATTTTAGCTTTGTCAAATTATCAGAAATTGTTGTTCTGAAAAATACAATTTACCATGTTAATAACACTGTATAACAACTTATTGTTTGTTGATAAATTAACAAGTGGAAGTAATTCTTGACTTTACAAAGTGGGAGCCACAATGCTGATTCACACGTTTTCAACTGCTCCATCCATTTTCATGGCCTTCATCAAAGTGTTCTCTCTCTCGTATATATCGTCTCCAGAAATACACCACTTCTAAACAGATTTCACCCTGAGCGCCCAGCAGCGTGGCATCTGGTGTGTCTGCGAACACCAACTTGGCTTCTATGAATAGTTTAATCACATAAAAAAGTGTTACTTCAAAATATCACACAGCATCCCATGAGGCGGCCACGTGGCCCACACATTAAAGAGGCGGTGATATATATATGGAAAGTTATGGATTCAATCTTGCAGAGTGTCCTGAGAAAGGTGTCCTTGAACTCGTGCTGCTGCTGCTTCCTCTCACTAAGCTGCTCTGGATGAGGCGCCCGCTAAACGCTTAAGATGTAAATGAAACGGGAGGAGTCCGCTGGGAGCACAAGGGCCTGTTTCTAGCAAAGAGCCCGAGTGGGTGGTGTCGCTCTCTAGGACAGAGCCTGCATGCTAACACATCACTGAATGCTGATCTCGCTCTTTAATGACAGGCTGCACATCTGCTCATGGCATGAAACAGGATTAATAAATGTTGATATAAATCCGGCTTAATATCTGCCAATGGTAAATTGTAAATAAACGAGGAAACTGATTGACTGAACATCGAGCTAAAGCCTACAGAGACATAAAAAAACCTGATCATTTTAGATAATTAGAACAATTTACTAATCTTATTTGGGATTTTGAAGTCTAAAAAACAGCAACTATCAAGCTGGATTACCCAAAATGATCAGATAAAAGATTTAGAGTATGATTTTTTTAAGAAATGTCTGACTTATGTGATTGATCAGCAGCAGACTGCAGTCATTTCGAGAAGAGTTTTCTGTGTTTTTTGTTATTTTAGTTAAAAAGTAGCTGATTTGGACATGCATTTTCAGTGTGTTCTTGTGTCCCTGCAGCCTCACAATCTCGGGCTCAACACTACCCTCTTGTGGTCTTAATGGGGTGGTAACAGGAGGATAATATTAACTCACTTTATTGTGTGAGTAGAGACAACAGCACAGTCACAACATGTGTCTTTAAAAGACTCAACATTCACAGTGTCTGGTGACCTCATTGGAGTATTTATTTCAGGTCACAGAGGTCGTACCTACTGTACTACTTCATATGAATACTCCGCCCCTCTATATGTCACTAAATAAGGGAAATATAAGTAGTAACATTCAAACCTCCTTTCACATGGCTTTGATGATAATCTACAATTTTATTAAAAAAATTTTTACATAAAAATGATGTGGCTACACATTTGTCTGACAGGCTGCCTCTTCTTCTGATGTCATGACAGAAAAGACTTCACACGTTGCAAAGATTTAAAAACCCTTCAAAGCTCTTAAATTGTTCAGAACATAAAAGTGTACACTGAGGAGCAATGTAAAATCACAAAACATACACACACATCCCTCAGTGGGTCCAAAAAAGGGGAAAGGTAAGGAAAGAAAAACAAGATCCGCACACCAAGGAGCTCTCGTCTGAAGGGTTTATTAAGGGATGTTGAAATGTCACTTTAGTTTGCTCGAAGCGTCGCTTAATAAATCCTTCAAACGAGAGCTCCTTGGTGAGCGGATCTTGTTTTGCTTTCCTTACTGAGGAGCAATGTGTCAATAATTTGTCAGGCTCTCGCTCTCTTACATTACTAATGGAGGAGTTTATTCATTCAAGGTAAAAAGTCTGAACTCAGAGCTCACACAGTGAAAGTAACATACATTCTGTCTAACTTTGAAGGAATGTTTTTGTTTTTTTCAATGGCTTACATAAGGTTTTCTGCAAGCGAAACATTATAGCTTGAACCCTCCCTGTGTGGGTGTGTGCTGATCATGAATGTATACTTGTACTGTTTATGAACATAGGTCGAGTAAAAGTAAAACAAGAAGCTTCATTTAAAAACACAGTTTTATTGCCTCAAAGCTTAACCCTTTCACCGTTGTACAAGTTTCCATATTTACAATTTCATAATGATCACGCCTCTAATAAATATCACAACTTAAAATCTGTCTCTAATCTACATGTTTGAATATTGCACATGCAAATATGTATAGTGTGTGCTTGTCTTATCTTATTAACTATATGTACAAAGTGACATAAACAAAACAAAAACAGGTGGGTTCCAATCACCATGCTACTGAAACACTTCCCCTCCAAATCTCTGCAATGTAGACATGCAACCCTTCTGCAGAGGCAGGCTGGGACAGCTTGATTGCAGGGAAAACTGTAACCATAGCAACTCAAAAAATCCCAAACACAGAGTAAAATAAAAAAGTGAGGGAGAAAGTTCTTCTCAAAGACAAAACACATTTCCAGTTGCCCACTTTTATATGACAGCAGTGACTATACCTCGCAGTTTGGTGGTGAATTGTCTTCGATACTGCAAGAAGGTTAAAAAAAATAACAAATCAAATTTTAATCAGTTTGACTTTTACTGATTAAGAAAAAAAAAAAAAGTGTGACCTACAAGGTGTCGCAGACGTCTGCACAAAGTGCTCCTCAGTCAGTCTTCAGTAAATCATCTGTGTTTAAAAACCTTTTACAGGTTCAGACTTTTTTTCTGCCACAGGCAAGAAATCTATTCCTATAAATACACTGTGTTTAAATATGTGTTAACATACAAGTGCAGCTCTACCTGCAGGCGGCAGAGCAAAGTCAACCTTTACTTTGTACATAAAAATAATCAGATGTTAAACATTAAATATCAACATTAATTGGACATTTTTACTGCACTGCCTGTAGTCACATTCAGCAGTGCACACAGTGAGAAAAACACAAACACTATGGACAGCATGGTGTGGTCGTACTTCACCTCCAGAGGGCGCTCTTGCACATTCCTTCAGCCCTCCGTGTCATTTCATTGGACAGGACAACAGGCGCAGTGCAAAAACATTGACAAAACAGACCAAATCATTCATAAGACTCACATATTTCTGCCCAGAGACGCTGCTTTGATCCTGTGTTTTCATGTGAGGACAGAAGACAAGCTTTTATATCGTGTTGTGTGGTTTCACCTCTGCAGAGTTCTATGGCTTTGGCAGGGGGGTTCAGAGGGAGCAGAAAGGGTCTTCACCGCCTGCTGCTGTTTGTGATGAAGCAGCCGCCTCTGAAGCTGCTGATCTCCCTCCCTGCACCTCTGCACCCGAGTGAGCAGAGGGAGAGCACCGACACTCATGCACATACAGAGAGGATACTGCACACCCTCTCAACAGACATGTGAGACATTTATTCAGACGTGGGTTACATTATTTACAGCAGACACTGACTTGATCGCATGCACATGATATGTGAGCGTGTCTGGCCCCTGGCTGGGGTTACATGTTGAGATGAGAGCCAGTGCAGGAGTTCAGAACGAAAAGCAGGACTCAAAATGTCCAGATGTGTCAGTGCTCCTGTGAGATAGTTCACACACAAACCCCACGTTTCAAAAGAACACATCGTCAAAATTATTTAAATTAAACTTCTTTTTCAGTGGTTACAGAATAACGTCAGCCCACACAACATGAACTGTTTAAAAGTGTCATCACGTGTAGTGTTATAGCTGAAATAAGCACATAACTGACACTTTGATGTGGGCATTTCTGCTTCAAATATATTAAATTTGACTCACACATATTGTTGATATTTGAACAACCATTTCATCTTTAACCAACAAGAGGTATGAGTGAAATCTCTGCAGGATATTACTGACGCACTATGGATACAAATTAAACATTTTTACATTAAAAACATTTGAAATGAAAAGTAAAAACAGTAAAATAAAACAGTGCCTAGAGCCCAGGTGAAATCTGATTGGAAATTTGATTGGCCACCCCAGGGACAGATTTCAAGGGGGTCCATGTTATTCCTGGCCCTCCCTCTGGACACGCCCTTTTATGAAAGGCAATAAATTAAGCCCCAAATGCAACTTGAATTATTTGAATTTGAGACATGGACATGGAGCTCAATGTTACAATTTAAAAGTTTGATATGTTGTGATTTAAAGGACAAAATCATCATCAGTGTTAAAAACCTGGACTTAGTGGGGATGCACCATCGACCAATTTCTGCTGACTTCAGGGCCAAATGGCAGAACACAGAAGACTCAGTATCACGTATTCTTTATTTTTCACTGATGCTGAGTTTGAGGGGTATTTTTTTTTCCGATATTAGACATATAAAACACCCATGATATGTTAAGTTTCAGTGATATAGATAACAGGAGTGAGAGAGCATTGAAAGGGTGCATTTTTCCACATGACACAGAAAACCTTCTCTCTGCACTTTGAACAGCGTTCACCCAGCAGTGTCCAGAAGAAGAAGATCATCATCCAGGCTTCGTTTATGAATATCACACAGCCAAAACACAGGCCTGGAGTTACCATCTAATATTCCCCCCTCACTTGTCTGTTTGGGTTGTAGGGCTGATGAACTGATGCCAGCACCTCATACCAGCCCACAGACGCAGTAGCTGAAAAAATTAAATTGGGGAGCTCAAGTATCGTAGCACCATGAGAGCTCCAGGAGCTGTGGCCCGACACGTACAGATCCTTCTGCCTGAGCTGTGCTGAGCTCGGCGGAGCATTGTCCTTCCAAGAACTATAATAAGGAGGGGGGGGGGGCTCCCAGACTGCGGCTCTGGTAGCTCATCAGACTTATGGTGGGTGACAAATCTGCAGACAAACGCATCACATCCCACTAGCAGCTCTGAACTCCTGCACTGAACTAAGTGTTTCATAAAACTTTGTTTTATTGCATCAGGGAAACAGACAGGACAAATTATTCTGTGTTATGTCAGCCCTTAAGTGTCCCTGTCAGAATAAAGGGGGAGGAATACAGCATGACTCCTCATGCTGGCTTCACGGTTTCATTGGACGTCAGGTGGAGAGGTGCCACTCGTCAAAAAAAACAAACTAAAAAAAAAAAACAATTTCAAAAATGGATTAGGTCTCTGATTATTTTGAGTGTAATTCCTTGTAGTCCTATCAGCAGGGATATGACCTCACCCACTGGCATGCACATGCAGGCAGGCTGGCTGGCTCCCCGCTCACAGTCAGAACAGCTACTCCATGCCGTTCCTCAGCATCTGATTGGCTGCGATGAGCATGACGCTGATGATAAATGCCATGGCAAAGGCGCAGATGAGGCTCTTCCTCACACACGTCTGTCGGTTCTTCTTTGAAGGGTGAACTGAAAGACAGAAACAGAAAAGATGAAGAACATCAAAGTGCCCGTTTAAAAGATGGTCTTACATGATGTCGGATCCTTCTGCACACAGAGACAGAACATAATGAAGACAAACACAAGCTGAACAGACAACAACATCATGTCCAGTGATTTACTGTGATTATTTATTTGTGTGACGTTTTTCTTCACCAGGGGAGAGCACACACACAATAACTGCAGTGCTTCTGTCAGTAGATCTGATCTGTTGGTTGTCTGAATGAATCAAGTGCAGGAAAATCATTTTGTGTTTTTATATTGATGGATGTTCAAACCCGTTGATAGAAAAGTCTGGCATGACAAAACAAACTGAAGCCAAGCATTCAAGTGGTCTTGATTGTTCTTTCCTTTTTTTTAAAGATACCCTACTGATGCCTTCATTGTAAAGGAAAACTCATGAATAATAGAAGATACTGTAGGCTCATGACACACAGCTAAAGTTAAATGAGATAACAATTTAAATTTATTCCATAGACCTGACAAGACGACATGCTGCCAACACTGTGCTCGATAATAAAAGTATATGTGCAACAAAAATATATTTAGAATTCATTGTTTTCTCCATGGTGATCTGGTAGAAGGGAAATAAACTTCAGGTGTGTTCTTACAGCCGTGTCGCTGGGCAGAATCAAAGCTCTGCTCTAAAGTCAGCAGGAGCACTGAGGTGATTATGATGTCACAGTAATGTAGACCTAAACCTTCAGGTTAAAAAGTGTGATCACTTCATGATTGTTTTTAGCGTTTTTGTTTGACATTTAGGATGTCGTGTCATGATAAGAATGAATTTTTGACATATGGCCAAAAACGTTTTATTTTAGAGATCACAGTGACCTTGATATTTGACCTTTGTTTGTTCCTGGTGTATCTGGTCAATAAGGATAGATATGTGGACTTAAAGAGGACATATTATCCCCCGTTTCCACCTTCTGACCACAGAAACATCTGTGCTGTGCTTTGGTCAAAATATAACATGAATCAAGCAGCAGAGGAGGTTTGTGACCCTGTAGAAACCAGCTCTCTCTGAACGCTCCGTTTTGGTGTGTGTGTCTCTTTAAATGCAGTGAGCCCCCCCCCCCCCCCGAGTTTTCCCGGTAGACATCACTCCTCTGTAGCGAGAATAAAAATGGCCAACCTGCCCAAAAGTTTTGTTCTTGGCTGGGGATGGAGTCCATGGGTGGAGATATCAGCGGAGGGGAGGGTATTTATTTTTACCAGAATCCCACTGTGACATCACAAGGAGAGCACATTTGAAACGGAGCATTTTTCTCTGTGTTGTAAGACTTATGCAGACCACAAACAAAAGGACTGGATGGGTTTATTTCACATTTTGTGGGTCAGTAGACACTCAGGTTACCCAAATATATCTTCAAAAACATCGTAGAAGTGGATTTTTCAAAATATGTCCCCTTTAATAAAGAAGAGAAACACGTTCTGGGAACATTATGCCTTCATTCATGGCTGCAATTATCAAGAATGAACACTAAACTTATCCAGTGAGTATTTTGAACACGAGGACAAATTCATGTGACTTAAATTCATGCACATTGTGACTCAGGGGTTCGATTACTGAGGCACATAAAGCTCTAGTTTTCAGTGCAGTTTCATACAACTTTCCTGCGATAAATCCGACCCTCATAAAAAGTTTAATGTGTAGTTTTATGAACCTGTTTTCCAGAGGGTTTCACTCATTGTTTCAGTCATTTTAAGGGATGCAGTTTGGGGTGCAATAGAATTGAAAAGTGTTGTACTGAAGGGTTTTAATGGTTTGTCCATCTTGTACATCGGTGAGTTCGGACTTGAAATGAGGAAGGTGTCCATGTCTATAAACAGTGTTGAAGCAGTGAGGAGTATTACCTTCATGCTTCCTGCACATCACTTACACACCTGACAGCACAATCCAGCCTAACACAGAGTCTTCTCTCTTTCACTAATACCCCTTTCAAAGGTTCCAGATATGGGGAAAGTGAGTAAAAGACAGCATGTTGGAGTGAAGGGAGTTATACAGAAAAACAATCATGCAGCAGTCCTGCTTTTCTCTATGAGATAATTTTCTGGTTCAATCAACCTCCGGCGCTCACAGGTAACTCTGCAGCGTTTCCTCCCTACAGCGGGGCGGCGGACTGCGAGCCGCTGAGATGATTTCAGAGCCGCGGTAATTAGGGGAGCCGGGCCAATGACCCACAGCCGCACAGCTCACACTCTCTCACTCCTGCTCTATTTTTAACTCTCAACACGAGAAGCACTGAAGTCATCAAAAACGCCTCTTGACTGGCTTGTTAAAAAAAGAAAAAAGAATGAACTGTGGAAAGTAGGGCAGAAATTTAAACTCTTTTCTTGGCTCGGTGTTATTAGTTGAAAATTGCTTTACCAGACATTTAGCTAGGCTACATCATATTAAACATGACGTGATGTGAGTGTTAGCCAAATGGATTATCTAAGAATGAGCTTTTAGCCAATTACAGAGGTTATGTAACTCAACACTGCATGGACAAATACTGAACTTTCTGCTCCGCTTGTGGGTTTGAATATCTGAGAAGACAGGACCAAACTTAAAACTGTTTTGATCTTTGAAAGCAATCCTTTACACGGCGTTTTTAACGGACTCCGAAGTTCCTTCAGTGAGCGACTAGTGATGCCTTAATGTTCCACTGAACGGCTCAGGAGGTTCTTTTGTTCCTGCAGCAGTCCAATATTTTAATGAACATTTTTAGTTGTGTTTCTGACTCATGGCTGTACATGATTATTCAAATGGTTTCAGTGGTGTTTGTTATTTATTTACTTGTTGTGTACTGTGATGTACTGTCGATATTGTTTGTTGTGTGTATGAACTGACCAGGTGACAAATCCCCGCTGCGGATCAATAAAGTTTTCTAATCTAATCCAATCTGCAAGACAATATGTTTGCTTTTTTAAAATTTGATTTAACCAGCAAAGATCCTGTTCTGGTACGGAAATGGTAAAAAAAACAACAACTTAGTTTCATCCTGCTAACTGGGAATTAAAATGAGGATTTCCAGGTCACACACTGACATCGACTCTTTACCTTTAACAGCCACATTTCTGAATCACAACACCAGAGTCTTTCTCTACTAAACAGTTTGATCTGTTTTTGATCATTTCAGCTGAATTGATTTTCTACAAACAGTCAAACCATAAACAATCAGTGGTTATCGATGGTCAAACACTGTTGGTTGTCATGGTGTTACAGTTCAAAGCTGAATCTGAAAGGCAAATGGACTTGACTTGAAGTTTCAGCTCTCATGCAAAAGGCCTCTTCAGACCTGACTCACTGAGAAACTTCAAAAACAGATTGTGTAACAGGTTTTTATTAGATTCATTCAAACTGTTTCACTAATGTGACAGAACGAAGAGATCCTCTGTACATACTAGTGCAGTGCACTATGTACAATTGTCTTTAAAGACTTGGGAGGCAGAGGGCACTGCTCTGTTAAAATGTGAAATGATCATTTCTTTGTTGAATTACAAAACATTTGAGGCTTAATATGAGGCTGAGTTGGTAACTGGATCATATCTGGGTTGTAACTATTTTCTTGTTGTAGTGCGTCTGGGATTTTAAAGTGCATATCTACGGTTGTATAAGTAAGGATGAATTAAAGAAGGTGTCGATGGAAAGTCCATGTGTCGGGCAGCTGGCTGGATGGTGAAGATGGGAGGAGGGTTTGTGGTGTAGACATTTAGTTCTCGGTCCAGTCGCCTGAACCTGCAGTCAGCCTCATAAAAACACCTCCTCAGCGCCCAGCGTGACCACACCCGAGCCAAACATCCACACAGGACTTTGAACAGAGCGCCACTGTGGTCATGAAGGCAATGAAGTGTGCAGATCTATGGATGTCTACACTGCTTCATACTTCACTTCAGCTTTAAAATGAGCCGACCTATGGGTCCAATAATTCATCAACCTGAAGGAAATGATCTGAACGGGCTTCCTGATGACACTGTGAAAGATTAACTGTAGACATGATTTATAGTAATCTCATCAAATAGCTTTGACTCTAAGGTGTAAGAAACACATTTAGGTATAAGGAATTACATTGTTTGATGAGTTATGAACTATCAACAGGAGGGTAAGTTAGCTCTACTTTTACAGTAAATTGTAAAAACAGGACATTTTAACGAGCTCGGAGAAGTGTCTGAAAATTCTTGTTTGTATAAACTAAAATGATGCAAGCACACATGGAGAATCTTAAATACCTACACCTGCACAGCAGCTGTGACATCCATGGATCAGAATTGATATTCACACTTTGCATCTGGCCGCTTGTCGTCACTCTGGACTCCAGTGCTTTAACGCGATTGGTGCACTTCGTTCAGCAATGAATCAGCACCTGGTGAACGTATACGGCTCGGTGGTAAACATTAATTCTGTTGTTTTTCAGCTTTCTTGATCCCAGAGCGAGGTGATGCGGGAGGGAAATCAGGAGCCTTTTACGCTACCTCATATATCAGAAAGAAGCCGGAGGTATAAGTACCAGAGGAGCATGATGAATTGTACTCTCACCGTGACACAATGTATTGATTTCAGTGTGACTGAGCACATTTTGGTGTCCCGTTGAGACAGCTAGTACTCAAAGACCTTCAGGCTAACAGATGCGGGGATGCTGCGGTGGTCAGTGTTCATCATAAAGCCAGCAGGGACGTCACGCTGGCATCACTTCACACCAGTTTAAAGACCTTGATGAAATGCTGGAGCACCTGTGCCGTCCTCATCGACAGCAGGACCGACTGAGTACTCAAGGTCAGGCTCGATTAACAAGCTGGTTTGATAAATAGGGACGTCATGAGAGCTGCTTTCAGACCACAGAAGAATAAAACATGACAAAATACAAAGACTATAAAGGAAGTGAACGAAGCCAAGATGATAACAATTGCAGGTAGCCACGCCTTCATCTACATCAGATTATTATTAAAAAATTGAGCACCATGAGTTACTGGGGAAAACTTAAAGCAAGCAGTTGAGACCAGAAACTCATTGGGAAAACGTTTATAGAGGTAATCAATCAACTGAGCTGTCAGATGTTCAAGATTAATACTTCAAATAGTAAGTTTGAAATTACTTTTACGATTCTGTTGTCCATCCATTAGTTAAACTGTTTTTTAGGCTTTATATGGAATTTTTTGATCCAGCAGATGTCGCCCTTGAGCACCAGCATGAAACGAAAACAACTCACGCTGCATTGTTGTGTTAGCATGCTAATGCTAGTGATCTTTATTATGCTGGTATCTTCACACTGCATGTAAATTTACCTGAAATGAGCGTGATCTAGAAACACAGTTAAGCAGTGAGTACAGTATGTTATTCTTCTTTTCTCTAGTCCCTCAATTAAACAACTTTTATACACGAGGGGAGGAGTCAGCCGGCCGTCCCGGCGATGTAAACAAAGTGAAGATAGGACTCTGAAAACTCTGAAAACATCACAGACAGTGGGACTCGGGTGTTACACCCATTGTAGACAGTCATGACTCACAGAGTTATTTTCAGAGGATTTCTATTATATTTAAGTGTGAAAAATCTCATATAAAGCCTTTAAGGGGTTGCAGAGGGGGAGACGATCCAAGCTGACATCAGGGGTGAGACGGTGGGTACAACAGGGACAGGTCACCAATCAATCACAAGGTTGACTCCCAAGACTGACAACTGTTTACACTCGCGCCTTTGTGTCCCTCCAGACTAATCTATAGAATCATCAATCTGTTGTGACTCTGCGTATCACAGACACTGAGGTCTTTTTTCGCTGACAGGCACAAAAACACAAACAAACATGTCTGAGAGCGAAAAGAGGGACGTGCTTCGACATGTAAAGAGGGCACTGACAGGTAAATTCATTCAATAAAAAAGTGTGCGTTTGAATGGAAAACTGATGTTAAACAAGAACAAGCATCTGCTCAGAAAGAGCTAAACAGACGCTTGTTATCACGGTGACCCTTCACATAATGTCGGTAATAAAAGACCCACCTGATCTGCATACTGAGCACTGGGCTAAAGTCCCCTTTCCTCTAAACTGTAAATGTTTTGATTTAAATTCAAATAAAGTTCAGCATGAGTTCAGGCGGGAAGATTATCTTTCTGCCTCATTTAGTCACATCACTTTCTCTCTCCCTCTCTCTCTCTTTTTTTTAATCAGCTGATCACGGGAGTGTGTGCCGTTTCAGTTTAACCAACCGGATTTTTCCGCATCCTGCTGCTGTCTAACTTTTAAGATGTGTTCTCCTCTCTGCTGCTGTCAGCTGTCATTTCAGTACTGAGCGTTTCCATCCTCCTCTCTATCCCTCATTCACCTCCAGTTCACCACATCCAGTATCTGCACTGAGCTCTCAGAAGTCCTCTCCTCTTCATCCTGCATCCTTAGCTACCAATACCAGAATCCAGACTTCTTCCAGGGGGGTACCTTACCCCAGTAGATCCAAATCCTTCTCGTTGGAGCCCCCAAGGACCCAAAATAAGAAAAAAAGTGATACATTTCTGAAAAACAACAACACATTTTAAATAATATAATATTTACCTGAATGAAAAATGTAGCTGACTAAGTAGCCTGATATTCCTGAGAGATAAAACTTTTATTTTTACACCGCTTTGTAATTATTTCAGTTAATCTGTCCAAATCTAATGTTGACCACCTCAGTGCAGACAGAGCCCCGTGATCCCCTTTGACCCAAAGCGCCTCCCCTTGGAGGTCGGACCCCAGGTTGAGAACCAATGCCTTACTGTGCTTTCAAAGTTGCACAAAACTCCTGAAAAAGTTCCTGAAATGTTCAGGTTAAAACAGTCATGTCTTTCACTCTGACTGAACCAGGAACTTTACACGTCAGCCCCTTAGTGACATTGTTTGTGAAGACGAAGGTGAGCGACTGAGATGAGAACCCAGCAGTCAATATTCAGGACAATTGAAGCTCAAGGGGGTGGTGACGGATATAACCTGCGCGCCCATAGACTGTGCATGCAACCGGTGCAATTTCTGTACATGTATTGAAACTGCTTCATTATGGTTTCTGTTCTCCATTATGTTCCTCTCTGCTCTCTTGCTGATAATGTGTTTAACTACACACTACATTCTCTGTGTTGCTTCGGACGGCACTTCTGCATCATTTATTTACATCATTATTTACCTCCTGTCCCACAGGGATGGACATGTGTGACCAAGAAACTCAGGAAGATTTCAGGGGCAGTGTGACGGAAATTTCTAGGAACTTTCATAAGTGCATGTGTCAAAAAAGCTTAACATTACTATCTGCTTTGAAACACATGAAGATGTGATCAAATCAGATTTCTCTTCTTTAATATGTAAATGTTCATGACATATGAAGTCACTTCGAAGTCTCTCCTGGTTTATTAAAGAATAAATGACATTGCCACATTTCTGAGTCTGGATTCAAACCATGCAGGCACATAAATAGTCTCAAAGAAACCATCTCATTGTTCACTTCAGGAGGAGAGGGAAAATGCCCCAGATTACCCTTTGCTGCTCTCCATAAATCTTGGATGCTAGTTTTTTCAGAAGGAGGTTTTTAATATTTCATCTGCATCTCTTCTGAACTCACGACCAGCTGACTCCGGTCCTCAGCAACCCCTCAATCAATAAACCAGCAGGTGTGCTGTAACTCAGATGCCTGTAGATCTTGACGAGGGAAGTTTAAATTCCTCCTGACAGCATGGATTTCTTTCTCTCTCTCACAAATACTCACACAAACAACATAGTGTATTTTCATCACACACACACACACACGCACACATGCATGTTTGTGCGGTTAGCTCAGGGACTCTCGCTCACCTCCCTCGAACTCTGTCTGACAGTTCCCAGAGTTTTCTTTCAGGCTCTCTTCCTCGTTGATGATGATGTTCTCGATGTCCTTCATGGTGAGGTGATCACGGAAGGCGTAGAAGAGGATGTGTTTGAGCTCCTCCAGCTCGATCCTCTGCATGTCGAACTGCACAACGAGAGGAGACAGGCAACTATTTTTAGGCTCATGTAAAAAATCTGCGAGTTGCCTCTGCAGCATGTTTGGCAGCAAAGCATTTTACCTGACAAGTGCAAACTTATGTTTACTAATTGTACACAAGTCGTACACATTCTTGGAACAAGTGGAACAAATCCATCTCCGGAAGCTGTGCAAAACATACAATAAATAATGTGAATTACAAGGACACAGGAGTAAGCTCCAATGTATACATCATGACGTATGTTCCTGTAAATCTCAACAATGCACATCCCACTTCCTCTTACAGATGTCACTTTGATGCATTCACTTTAATCAGTGTTGCACAAAGTTGATTAAATGGAATGTGCCGGAGTTGCAGCCTGAAGGTTTTGATTTATTGTTCAGTTTAAGCATTTACACAACTCATCCAAAAAGAAGGTGCTCACACACACATAACGAGACACACACACACACACACACACACACACACACACACAGAGCGTGACTTGTAAACCGAGGTTTTGAAGGTCTCACTGAGACAAAAGACAAAAGTGCAAAGTTTATGTTTCACAAGTTTCAGAGACTCTTACGGCTTTAAGATTGACTCGGTGAGGAGCTTGTTTGAGAACGGCACTTTGTCTTACACTTCAGAGCGGTAATGAAAGAAGGGCTTTCATTTCCTCTGTACGAGACAGCAATGCAATTTAGACAAGAAGAGGTAAAAATCCATGGCAGGGAATGAGTGAAGGGGGTGTAAACCAGACTGGGAATGACTTTATTACAACGACAAAGTCAAGAGACAGAATGAGGAAACGAGAGCGTGCATGTCCTGTCTAAAGCTGTGACTGAAACCTTTAAGAGAATTAAGTAAGAGAGAACTACAGACCACTGTCAGAACTCCTGTCACACAGTTTTGGTGGAGATGGGGGGGGAGGGGCTTTGACTCATAAATGGTCTAATGGGCTTTGAAGAGAAAAAGGACCACTTATTTATGATGTTTCCATTTATCCCAGGACCACCATGAACGAAGCAGCAGAGTGGCAGTGAGGAGAAAATACTCTGACCACAGTGGAGTACCTTTTCTGTGTTTTCTGCCACGTGCATAATAAGATAGGTAGGTGACCCTACGTATGGAGAGGATGGCATGGAAGCCCATTTCCGCCAGTTAAAAAAATGAAAATGAAAATAATAAAGTCATAATTATGAGATAAAAAGTCGAAATTATGAGATAAAGATCAAAAGTTTCTCTTTGTTTATCGTGTTCCTTGCTCAAGTGGTTTATTCCGTGACTTCTGCTCCATTATTTCGATAATTATGACTTTATTATTTTCATTTTTATTTTTTTAACTGTCGGAAATGGACTTCCAAAGGATGGACTGACATTCACGACAATGCTAATTTAATTCATAAACACATTGTACCTTTTCTTCCTGTTGTTTTTCTTCCCTATTGTGCGTGTACATACAGCAGGCAGGCCATTGTCATGTATACATCACACACACACACACACACACATATATACACACACACAACACAGTTACCATTAAGAGTGACCTTAAAGATGGCGAACAGTTATTACAGTCACAGCTACATGGACATTGGAGCATGCTGACCCTTAAAACTAAAATTTCAATCTCTCTCAGAACCTGAAACCAATTTTTAAGGACATTCTGGGGCATGATGACACAGCCCAGCAATCCTGTTAAAGTGCAAGTTTTTTGTTGCTGTGACCTTGTAGAAAATGTCCAGTCAAGTAATGACCATCGGATAAAAGTTTTATCCGAACTTTGAAACGGAGTCTGTGAAGTCAGGACAAACCTTTAAAAAAAAACAAGAGAGATGAAGAACGACAGAGCTCACTTGATGGTGCTTCAAAGGTATTATTACGTATATATATATATATAAGAAACTCAGAGCTTTAACCAAACTTTGATCATGATGTGAAAATCACAGAAGACTACTCAGCAATACAGAAAAGAAAGGCGCACATCATCCTCAGTGTGAGACAAGAAACTTTCACTGGACATCCTGGCTCGCCCTCCGGGTAGATCTTTTCATAAATCACTGCATCACACTCAGACATAAATCACACTTTCCCCCAGTAACCATCTTTCTCTCCCTCTAATACTGAGCTCATGTTCACTCACAACATAAACGCCCCATATGTTAATCAGCCTCCATAAAGATTTTCATTAGAACAGCTAATTAAAAGACGAGGGGGTCAATGTTTCATTGTTTGTGTGCGGTGATATCAATAAAAGGAGGGAGTAATAAAAGGTAAAATAATAACAGGTACATTATGATAACAATGTAAAAGAAGAATTCATTAACTGTCATTACAGAAAGGCGAGAGGCGCTCAACAACGTGTCAATCATACTTCAGTTTAAGTGATACTGTTATGTTCTTATACAGTATATTTATGAAGCTATTTAACCATTAACAATGAATGACATCATGTCGTTTTATCTTTATTTCTCTCTAAATCCCTCCAGTGAAAATATGTTGTAAGCAAATGTTTGAAGTGACAGGAAAACGAAAAAATATCTCAATAAAGCAAAACACATGCAGCACACGTGTGCGTGGTGTGGTGACCATTTTAAAACAAACCCTCAGTCACCACTGAGATGTGAGTTGTGGAACTATTTCTGGACGTGTGCAGATTTTCCAATAGTCTTCGATCTGTTTATTATAGTTCATGATCGGGGTTCACTAACGCACATAAATGTCCCATTCTGTCCAAAACATCATAAAGCATAAACTGTTACATCCAAGTCAACCCGACACGCCGACACGGTCAAAAAACGATATGCTTCCAAACACAAGTCAAGACTCCACCTAGTGTTCAGTGTCGGAATTATACTCAAATACAAATCCATAGTGTTCTTTTAGGTTTCTTGCAAGGCTCAAATAAAACAAGCATTTTGGCTCCTACAGTAAATAACAGCTGCTACAAATAATTAACGGACCATGATATTGAGAAGCCTTGCTTAACTGACTCCACTAATAACCTCATCCCAATTTTGTTTTGTAATTTTAATTGACAGTCACAGTATAAACGTAGATTATAAACACTAAATCCACGTCATATCAGCAGGTTTTAAGCAACAGAAAGATATTTTTCTTACAAAAACAGCAGAGAAGTCATTCAGACAACAGAGCTGTTTTTATTTCTGTCTCTGTCTGGGGTACAGAAACAGATCCTGAACAGATCCTGAAGCCTCCCTGCAGCATCTGCCATTTAAAGTAACAGCTAACTCTTCTGTCACTTCCCCCCCCATGGGAGTGCGGTCGGCCTCCTAATTGTGTTTACTCGACCTTTGCACCACCTTGCTGCTTCTAACGACGTCACTGCCGGCGGACATGAGCAGAGTGACGGAGCTTCATTTGCCAGGGAAAAAAAAAAAGGGACGAGCCCGAGGAAAGATTCAGTCGCTGAGCACGACGGTGTCAGATAAGAAAAATCCATTTGATTGTGTCGTTCCACGTCCCACTGACTGCTCAGACTGTATTCACATTCAGTCGTGGAGTGACCTTTGCAGAAGAATACAGGGGGAAGAAATGGGAAGCAGACAAGAAGGACGCCTGCAGACCTGAAGTGACTCCCACAGCTGCTGTTGAGACCTACAGTTTCAAACCTAACCCCCCCGAGCACAGACGGGAGACCTGCAGCAGTCTTCTTTGTCGCACCACCGTCACAGAAGTTCAGTCTGAAGTGCAATCACATGCTTCGGGCGCAGAATGGAGACTTTGGAAAAACTTGTAAATGTCACACGCTGTTAAAACCTGCTGACGTCTGAACTCCAAAGGGGAGGGGGGGAGGTAGAAACCAGACGGAGTGATGTTAGCCAGAATTAATAAATAGTTACTTAATCAGAAATCCATATCAACAAATGATTTAATGACATCAACAACATACAAAGACTTAACTATCATTTTTGAGATGCAAATGTTCAGTTTTATTAAATACTTTTTCTGGAACTGGATTTGAGAGAGCTGCAGAGTCAATGAAAACCTAAACAAACGTTACAGGCATATATTTGACCTGATAGGAAAAGTCGGCTTTCTCAGCTTTGGACTAGAAGAGCCCTTTAAGTGTTTACTACCTACAGAAGACTCTACACCAGGGGCGGGAAACAGGCGGCCCCTCAGGGCGCGGTCACACTGGCAATCCGTACCGCGCCGTACTCAAGCACGATTGGCCCCCCCCGCTGTACCATTCCTCCGCTGGCTGGCACGGCCCGCGGTCACACTGCACCAGGACAAACCATGCCTAAGCACGATTACCTCTTGTACATGACGTCATCATACAACACATGCATGCTTTATGTTATTATGAAGCTTGCTCAGTTTACAAACAGGCGGACTCGAGAAAAAAAAATTAAAAAAAGGGACGTGCAGTGGAAAACTGCGTCTGCACATCGGAGAACAACACGGAGAACATGACGTAATTTTAGTCAGATACGGCCATGAAACTCTGGATTTCTCCATAATGAAGGCTGTCAGCGTTGTGTACCCGCTGCTCGTGCTCGTGCTCGTGCATGAAGTGTACCGTGCCTGAGCATCTTTTATTACTGGTATAGCAGGAAATAAGACGATATAATTGGCTGTAAATCTTTTTTATGAAGCTTTATTAAATGTTTTAGATTTGTTTTCAATGTAAGTGAAATATACTTAAATATCCAGTAAAGATTGGCAGTCCCTATATTTACTTTGGTTCGCAAAGGTGGGACATTCGTCAGAATCAGTTCTCCCTGTTTGAATAATAGACTCTTTAGAGGAGCGGAGAGATGGATCTGAATTATGTAATACTGATATATATTGTAACTGAATTATTTACTTGCCATGAAGAGTCAGATCATTTAGATTCATATTCTGAGCAGCAGGATGAATACGTATGGTGGATCTGTGATGTGTTTAGTAAGAGCTAGCAGGGGGGATGATTTACTCACTTTTCTCTGAATATTAAGACTGGAATAACAAAGTGTTTGTTACAGCTTTTTGTTTAACG